TTTTTTTTTTTTTTTTTTGTGTTTTTTTTTGTTTGGTTTTTTTTTTGTTTTTTTTTTTTTTTAACTTTTCGAACCTTTTTGTAAAATTGCTGTATGAAACTTTAGCTATAATTTTATCCTAGTTTTCTCATTTAAGTTCTTAATTTTCGTACTGCTACGAATTCATCAAGTGCTGCCTCAATACCTTTTCTGCACCTGCAATCTACTTGAGATGAAGGCTCATGGTCCATGCAGGTAGTATGAGTATGCTTTGAGCAGTGTAATAAAAAAGGAGGTTTGTGGCAGTGCATTGTGTGAATACCAACACTCTTTATGCAGACAATACAGCATAATAATTATATTCAACCTGAGTAAATGAATTCTGAGTGCTGGTATGGATGAGAATGGGAACTTGTGAGGACAGTTGGTTTGGAGTTTCATTTCTTGTTAATATTAACAAAATCAGGTCTATGAAAGACTAATTAAAATCAGTTCTTATTAAAATCAATGAATCAAGAGATAATTTGAAGATTAAGGCTGAGGAGGGAGGTATTTTTTAAAACACATTAGTTAGTCTTTTCAGCCAACCAATGGAGACTTGTGTACTTGTCTACATCCAGATATCTGGCTAAGGTACTCTGAATTATTTTCTGTAAGCAAAGATCACTCCACTGAATGCATAGGTACCCTAAGTACCTACAGTGGCAAAAGCTAGGTATTTGAAGTTAGATGATGAATGTGCTCAATACTTCCCCAACTATCACACTAAGGAAACTTCACATAGAAGAAAAAAACCCTCATCAGTGGGGTAGGGGAACATACACATTTTTTTATAGCTTCTAGCAAGTTTACTGAGTTGGTAAACAACAGCTTTGTGGATGTCTCATGATATTCTCCAAAACAAACAGATTTTCAGGAAAGAATCAGAAAATAATTTTTAGGACCCTCAGGAGAATTCCTCATATCCTAAGCAAATTTCTGATACAGGAACTTTCAATTTGCAAATTATGTAAACCTTTCCATAAACTTTTCCTTGATGGAAAATATTAGGTAGGTATAAACATCAGGCTTGCAAAATAAATGGTTCAAGTAAGCCAAGCACTCTGAAGTTAGTTAAACATCAGTTAAAAGGCAGTGAAACCCTAATTCAGGTCTTTTCATGTATACATTTGATGTAGTCAGTGGCTGAGTTAAATTTTGGTTTTATTTTTTTATTGTTTCAACCACTGAGTCTACAATGGTTGAGTTATATTTTTTTTCTGCTTAATTTCATGTATAAGAAAGGGCACTGAAAAAGTTATTCAATATTTCTTTTATCTTCATTATTCGATGTGTTGTTCCTTTATTAATTGCTTAACTCTATTCAAATCTTTAATTTTTCTTGACAAAATTATGAATTTCGCAGTTGGTTTTCTGTGTCACTTGTGGCTATAGTATGTCAATACCTCATTAGTGTGACTAATTTTTTATTACATTTCTGAGTTGAAATAAAACATTCCCCACTGTTACATACTCTGGGAAACCCAATGCTTGCACCTAACCTTAAACAGCACTTTGCATAGTCAGGAAAAACTCCTGTTATGCCACTTGTAACTCTGATGAAAATCAGATCCCAAGATTTTCTGTAAGATCTCAAGACAACAAGAAATACAGCATTAGCAGGCTTTTACTTTGAGCAATCTGCCTCACACAAAATTCTGCTGGTAGAGATGCTGAAGGATAATATAATCCATTCCTCTGCTTTAGTCAAACTCAGCTATTTAGTCATTAAACACCCCCCACTTTTCTTGTAACACAAGTCACTGCACAGACCTCAGCACCTGGGAATGTCAGCCAGTGGTTCTATGGATAAAAGCCCATTCGGGCACACAACCTTTATACATTACTATCACAGACATCTATTTGTACATTAGGCAAGACAGTGGAGTTAAAAAGATGGGCACTGGGAAAACAAGTCTGAGATAGAACCAGTCTGGTGTTAATTTGCTAATGCAGCAGAGCTTCTACTTGTTCTACGTATTTCTCCTGATTCCTCCACCATGTACCCCAAACATCCATTTCTGGATCTGATAGAAAAAAGTTACTGGTCAGGATACACTCACGGTCTGACAAAGGAAGGCAGTTCTTATTCTCTTATGCAGGAGAAACCACCCCTGGAGCATATTATGACACATATTTTGCAATATACTTTCACAGACATTTGATAACAAAAAAATAACTTTTATTATTTTGTAAATTCCCAAAATCTTTTATTTTCCTCAGCTGTTTAGCATCCAAAATCCTTGGATTGAGCAGATACTCATCATGGATAGTTTAATTTGAAGTGGACACAGTTGCATTTATAGACTGTACTGGTTATCTTAATGGTAGCTAAAATTACCAGCCCTGCCAAGAGTATATTTACAAGATAAATGAGAGAAATGGAGGCATGACATTAAAGTTGTATAGCTTGTTTTGGGGTTCTGTATTTTATCTATGAGAGCTGTGAATGAAAATGAGTCATCCACATAAGTCCAGATGAAGAACTTGGTATAAAATGTTTTCATATAAAAAAAAAACTAACACAATTTTCTAAATCCTTAAACATATTCTTAGGGTTATTTTCGGTTGACTAGGTATTACGAAGTCAGATGCCTTATTTCCATTAATTTAGCCTAGCAGACTTCAACATAGTAAAACCCAAACAACTCCGAATCTAAAATTATCCCTAAAACGGTCTAAAATAGAACTTCTGTTATTTCTGGAACTGTCAGCACTATAAAATTTCAGAATATGTTGGTTTTTAGGGTCCAATCCCAATGTGTTCAGTGCTATAGGGAGGACATGGGGTATTACCAGGAGTCTCAAGCCCTTATCAGTGTTTAGAGATGTATTTCTTCTTCAGCAAAGACACACAGCGTGAGAAACTTACCATGGCAACAGCTGATGCAGCTATAGAAAAATAGTTATAATGCAAAGGGATGAAGATAATAATAACACTTCTTGAATGTAAATCTGGCATATGTATGTATGCATATTCCCTACACACACACATTCTGCTGCTTCATGCAGTTGCCTGGTAAAGTCCAGCAGGTGCCAAGTAATAATAGTACACCTGCATGACAGACAGGGAGTTCAGTTCTCACAACAAAACACAGCTTTCAATATGTCCTGTGTTTCATTTCCTGATGCAGCTTCTTACTAGCAAACCTGCTGCTTTGCTAATTGCACTTTATTATGTCACTTTGACCTGCTGAGTAACCTTAGCAAACAATTCAGCTTCATTATTTTTCTAATTCTCCATTATAAGGCAGAGATAAAAATATCTACTGCCTTCATTAAACAGAGTTCTATGCAGAAATTTTCTTCTAAGCTCTGTAGGTGCTATATAAGCTTTCTAAGAACTATACAGTATTCTTGGGGTTACAATAACTCTTTTGAATGAGCACTAGATTTCCTAAAGCACGTACTCCACAGGCCTTCACAGTCTAGTGGATGACCCATTTTTGCCTTAGATATGCAAACAAGTTCAGTAACACTGTCATTAAAGTGTAAAGGAAAGTATTGTGCCTCCTTCAGAAACTTAGTTCTTATGAAAATAAAATGGTGACTACCATGAACAGATGAACTTGATTGCCAGGTTGAGATTTGGAGTGGGAGAAAGTCCCAAGACCTTCAAATAAATAATTTCCTTTCACATGGGAAAATTAGTTATGATGATATAAAAAGTAGAATCCTAATGTTGGTACTGCAACTGAAGTACTCTTCCTAGATCAAGCGTATTTCACACTGTCAGCTAAGCAGCACACGGGCTAAAATGATGCAATACAGTCCTTTACAGAAATGTGTTCTGTTTGAATTTAATTAAATTATAAAAATGACTGCAGATCATATTCTGAATTTAATATTCCCTTTTCATTTCTTGATGTCAGCATGCATTTTTAGTAAATGAAACCTAAATAAAATCTGCAGGATCAAATTCTCCTTCAGAAACCTGCTTTGCTTAACTGGAATTCAACATAATGTAAGATTCCTGTCAGTTGTTTGCATCTTTACGTCATGAATTCAAAAAGAGATATTAAAAACGTATATAATTCTCAAAATACCATACAGAATAAGAAAAAGAACCCTATCAGTTTTAAATACTCAGAGAATACTAAACTGAATTCCTATATTATCAGAGAGTAGTAGCATTTCATTTGAACGACAGTGTTCTTGATTATCTTTTCAGCTAAAGTAGGTATATAGGAAGAAGAGGAAAAAGAAAGAGAAAAATTAAAAGAAAAAGAAAGAAGCAGCATATGCAAGGCCTTGTGTGTTTGGTTTGGCTGGCCAGGTTTTGGTAGCAGAAGGGGTTGACAGGGGTGGCTTCTGTGAGAAGATGCTTGAAGCTTCTCCTGTGTCCTGCTGGGCCAATACCCGGCGGCTCCAGGATGGATCCACCGCTGGCCAAGGCCGAACCCATCAGGAATGACAGTAACGCCTCTGTGATAACGTATTTAAGAAGGGTGAAAAAAAAAGTTATTGGGCAGATGAAAACTGCAGCCAGGGAAGAGTGGAGTGAGAACATGTGAACAGTGCAAACACCGAGGCCAGTGGAGAAGGAGGGGGAGGAGGTGCTCCAGGCATTGGAGCTGAGGTTCCCCTGCAACCCGTGGTGCAGACTATGGTGAAGCAGGTTGTCCTCCTGCATCCCATGGAGGAGACCCACACTGGAGCAGGTGGATGCTCAAAGGAGGCTGTGACCCCATGGGAGGCCCATGCTGGAGTAGGGTCCTGGCAGGGGTCTACTGACCCATGGAGAGAAGAGCCCATACTGGAGCAGATTTGCAGGTAGGACTTGTGGCCCTGTGGGGAACCCACATTGGAACAGTCTGTGCCTGAAGGACTGCACCCTGTGGAAAAGTGACCCACATTGCAGCAGTTTGTGAAGAACTGTTGCCCATGGGATGGATTCATGCTGGAGAAGGACTCTCCTGTGGGAGGGGGACCATGGTGGAGCGGGGAGAGGACTTCCCTCCCCAAGCAGCAGTGGAAAGGCAGAAACAACTTGTGATGAACTGACTATAACCTCCACTTCTTGTTTCCCCATGCTGCTGTGGGCAGAGGAGGTAGAACTTGGGAAGGAGAGGGGGTGGGGGGCAGGTGTTTTTAAGATGTATTTTACTTCTCATTTTCCTTCTCTGATTCTGTCAGTAATAAATTTAATTAATATCCCCACTTCAAGTCTGTTTTGCCTGTGACAGTGATTGGTGAGTGATCTCTCCTGTTTCTTATCTCAGTTCATGAATCCTTTGTTATATTTTCTCTCCTCCGTCCAGTTGCAGAGGGGATGATAGAGCGAATTTGGTAGGTACCTGGCGGCCAGCCAGGGTCAACCCACTACACCGTTTCACTGAATTTTGCCACTGGTTGTACCGGATTGTTCTAAAGTTCAAGAGGAAATATAATGAATTATTAGCTGAGAAATGAATATGGAGTTATAAATGAATATAGTAAATCATGATACAAAATATGTGCACATTTTTTTCTGTTTTCCATGCAGAAGTAAATGAAGAAAACCCACGCAGAATGCTAAGTCATACATGAGCAGCTCAGCAGTTTGTACCTCTGACTTGGTGGTAACACAGTGTGAAGGTCCTGTAATGCAAGGGTATGTAACAAAGGTATTCACTGTTTTTCTGTGAGGAAGCCATCCATCATGAGCTAATGCATCCTGCATGGCAAGAACAGTGCTAAACGTGATATAAGCACGTACTGGCACACTATATAATAACACTGTATAACAAGAAACTATACCTCCATTAAATCAATAAAGTACAGTAGCAACAGAAATAAACAGGAAATATTGTTTTCATAATTAATTCTTTTCTTATTAGGGCATTGAAGCATTTCTATTATTCTACTTGTACATCCAAATGTTACTAAAAGATATTAGAAAGTTCTGATTGTTTCCATACAGCAACTTGAAAAATTCTTTGGGCACATGACGGATTTACACAATCAACTACACATCCTTTTCTTTAATATTTTTCCTTTTAATATGTGAATGATGACCTATACCATTACACCATGGGTATGATCTCCCTCCAATAAACCTTCCTTCTGATTTATAGATTTAAAATATGAAAGCCTGCAATTGTGTTCTCAATAAATTTTGCTATTCTCTGCTAAAGCATCTGAGGTTTCAAAGTTAATTCAATTATTTTAGGCAAGGAGGCATTTATGCCTTTCAATAAGTACCAAACACAACCTTTTAATAGGATTTATATAAGGAAAACAAACTTTTAGAACAGTGACATGTTTTTAGTAGAAGTTTAGAAATCTGCATTTCTTATGCTTAAGTTGATAGAAATTGCTTCTCTTTGAGAAAGAAAACTGTGTTCCAGATATGCATGATTTAGAGATTTATTTCAACACGTTCTGCTGAGTTATAATACAAATTATTTAGTCAACCAGAGGTTGCGAAAGGACACAAAATCTTTCCCGTACTCATACTGGCAGGCACAGTTAGTCTTCAGATTCCATAGTCTCAGAACATAAATATTGTATGTCTTCACTAAAAGATATCAGCATATTCATGAGCAAAGCTCATGATTTGTCTAATAAGTACGCAGGTCAGCAAACCTTTCAGTGGGAATCATTTTCCTTAATGTCTCCAAATGGATGTTAGCATCTAGCCTACAGGACCAGAAACAAAACCAATTGAAGAAAAAGGAAAGGCTTAATGTTTTCAAAGGTTTTTGTCAGGTCTCAATGATAAACAGTCATGACTAGAAAAATTTAATTAGTTAACAACAGAATGGAAGATGGTGATCATCTTTAAAGCTATAATTGGTTTGAGAGTTACTGATGTGCCTGTTCTGTCTCCACAGATCAGTACAGTAAAACTGATAACACATGATACTTTTTCTGATAACTGTTGAGTTTTAATAACTGACAGAAGTCACAGAGTGCATCAAAGTTTTTTTGGAGGACAAAAAAAACCTTCAGAAGACATTAGGATTGTTTTCTTTGTTTTCAGTTTTTCCTGTGATTTTACATGTTAATTAGGGTTCTTTTTGTACTTTGATTTATTTGTTGACAACAGAGGATAACTTGAAATAATAACAAATATGATCTTTATTTTTGGGCATTAATTAAAGCCAGTCCTTTCAACTATGGCCTCTCTTTTCGTGCAAAAACTTTGTAATGTCTAAGCAAAATGAATTTTTTTTTAATCCTACCTTAGAAAAAATGCACTACATTCAGGACAAATAGACTCTGTCCTCCTGAATCCTAAAAATTCATACATTCTGATATAGGGATAAGTTGGTTCTTTGTCACATAAGATTAATTAATAACCTATGAAATTTTTTCCCAAAACTATCTTCTTGCAATCTTAAAACCATTTATTGAAGTTCTACAGCATTATAAAAGAATTCAGGTAATACTTATGGAAAAAAATTACTATTTTCTTTAACATCTTTGCTAAAACATTGTAGCAAATAGATTGTGTAAAGGAATTATAATCTTGTTTAGATTTGGTATTTCTTTCACAAAAGAAATTACAGGAAATTACAGGAGAAAAATTTTCTGTCAAAATATGTAGCTGCTTAGGAAATTCAGGTAGATTTTCTAAATTGTCTTTTCCTTTTACACAGTATTTTTCCATAAAAGACAAGAAGTGTACCAGTAACTTTACAGAACACAGGGTATCTCTAAGAAGGTTGCATGAAGAACACTGATATCCAGTGTTGTCCCTACTTAACCTTTATACAATATTGACTTAACATTTTCTGCATTTTAATGCAATGCAATATGGAAAATGTTCTAGGACTTCCTTTCCTTAATAGATCATATACTTCTTTCAGACATTACCAAAGACTTTTTCTTCACAATGTTTAGTTTATTCTATGACTCTCCTTTACCTCCCTTTATAATTTTGTAGTTGAGATATTTGTTGCAAAACTTTGGACTTCTGAAAAAGATGGTTCACAAAACAACACTCCTACTGTCAAACATGAAGGAAATACATCACTAATGTAGACCAAATTTTTTTTTATTTGAACACAATGCATCACTTATGTGTTCTTGATTTTAACCTTAAGATAATAATCCTGGGTGATATTTCATGAGAACATTGCTGGCAAAATCCTGGCAAGAATACTTTTGAACAGACTAGTATGCACTATAGCAGAAGGAATTCTACCTGAAAGCCAGTGTGGTTTCAGAGCCAACAGGAGCACCACAGACATGGTATTTGTTCTCAGACAACTGCAAGAGAAGCGTAGGGAACAGAATAAAGGTCTCTTTGTAACCTTTGTTGATCTCACTAAGGCTTTTGATACTGTGAGCAGAAAAGGTCTATGGCAGATTTTGGAACATTTAGGATGTCCCCCCAAGTTCCTTAAAATGATCATCTCACTTCATGAGGATCAGCACGGCCAAGTCAGATATGGCAATGCACTTTCTGAGCCCTTTCTAATAACCAATGGTGTGAAAGAAGGTTGCATTCTTGCACCAACGCTATTCACAATCATCTTCAGCATGATGCTCCAAAGGGCCACGGCAGACCTCGATGATCAGGATGGTATCTACATTCGATACCGTACTGATGGAAGCCTATTCAACCTAAGGCGACCGAAGGTCCATACTAAGATCTTAAACCATCTTGTCCGGGAGCTGCTTTATGCTGATGATGCCGCCCTTGTGGCCCACACAGAAGCAGCTCTTCAGCATTTAACATACTGCTTTGCAGAGGTTGCTGTGCTTTTTGGGCTGGAAGTCAGCTTCAAGACAGAAGTTTTCTACTAACCTGCACCTCAGGAAGTCCTCCATCATCCCCATATCACCATTGGCCAATCAGAGCTCAAATCAGTCCAGCAGTTTAATTACCTAGGTAGCATTATCTCCTTGGACAGTAAGATTGATGGAGAGATAGACAACAGGTTAGCAAAGGCATATAGTGCTTTTGGAAAACTCCATAAAAGAGTTTGGCGAAATAAATACCTGAAGAAAAGTACCAAGATCAGTGTTTACAGAGTCATTGTGCTGTCCACTCTTTCATATGGTTCTGAATCATGGTTCATCTACTGCCACCAACTGGGACTCCTAGAACGCTTCCATCAGCGCTATCTCTGCACAATCCTAAACATCCACTGATCAGACTATGTGACTAATATGTCTGTTCTAGAACAGGCAGCTGTTATGAGTATTGAGGCCATGCTGCTGAGAACACAGCTGCGTTGGGCAGGACATGTCTCAAGGATGAAGGACCACCGCTTCCCTAAGATCATGTTTTATGGTGAACTTGCCACTGGTTGCCGCAAGAGAGGAGCCCCGAAGAGGAGATACAAGGACTCCCTGAAACAACATCTCAGCCTTGGCCATATTGATCAACATAACTGGTCTACTCTGGCCTCCAACTGGGAGGTCTGGAGACACACTATCTATAATGCTGCTGATGCCTTTGAGAACGTACGCAGGATCACTCTTGAGGAGAAAAGACAACGCAGAAAGAACCATGTCTTGTCAATACCACCTAAGGATTCTTTCTGCTGTGCCTTTTGCAACCAGACTTGTCTATCGCACATTGGCCTTTTTAGCTACCAACACACTTGCAGCAAATGTGGGTAGAGTCCTTCCCAAATCTTTGTTCGCGAAGCCTAGCCATGACTATAAATCCATATTGTTATGGTAAAATGTTAAGCCTTTCAACTGATGATTCTAATGGTCACTTGGTTGCTTTACTAAATTCCTGATATTCAGCTCAGAAGCGCAATACTGGCTGTAGTTTGGCTCTCTGGCAATAGGGAGACACAGGCTTTTCCAGTCTGCCATGCTTAGTCACAAGGTCTTCACATCCATTTCTTCAGAGCCACCACACAGTGACCTGTTTCACATGCACGCATTGACTTTCAGTAACATCAGTATTATGCAGCTTAGAAGTCAGCAGGTTTGGGTATAATGGAGTAATTATGGCTGGGCTACAGACTGAACATGGAGTAAGAAGACAGAGATCTCCTGTCTTTATGGCTGTAGCTCCGTTACTCTGAATGGAGGTTGAGGACCTCACAGAGTTAGAAAAACATTGTCAGCATCCTTTGTGGTGAGGTCAGGTATACTGTATTTCCTAAGATTGTCATTTATTCATATGAAGATTTAAGCCCTTCTTTGTTAAAACAGAGTAAGATAAACTGAATAGGAAAGAAATAATTACATGGTGCTACTTCATTTTCTAATAGAGGTTGTTTCTTTAGGAATATCTAATTTTTCCAGTCAAAATGGCTCTTGAATACATGCAAAACATTTCCTAGACAAAAATATTATTTGTTGATTTAAGTACTAAAAACTATATTGCACTCTTTTCTTTTAAAGATCAAACTGTTCTATAGATGAGGTCAACCTGGACAAACAATCTTAAAATATTTTAACAAGATTTTGCTTTTTCAACCTCTCTTTTCCAGTGTTTTTAACTCATTGTTTTGATATTTTATACTGTTTTTAGTTCCTATTACAAACAAAACTAATTGGTATGTGAATTCAGCCAAAGAAAATGTTTAACTGGTGACTAGTGTCTTGGAATGATCTGCAGCATAAGTGAAGTTATGCGTTTTCTGATGATGCACATAAATTTTCAGGACCTCAAAATTATGGCTGACCTGACTGGTGGATGTGTGGAATATGTCACAACGTTCCATGGAAGGCCTGAAGATAGCTGTTAATTAGAATAAGCAGACTCTCTTGTTACTCTTTCAAAAACTAAGAAGGTAGATTTTTGTTTTGCTAAGACATAGCTGACTAACTGCAAGACTTCAGAAACAGTTGTGAACTATACTTTGTAGTTGGCACAGAACAACACATGCAGTCATGGGTAATTTTTCATACTATTTTCCTGAAAATCAATAGAAAAACTGTTAGCAAAAACAGTTGCTTACACTGTTAATTGTTAATCCAACTTAATTTCTAAATAATTCTTATATAAGAATATTTCACAATTCATAATTTTACTGATACATTCTGCCATTTTTTTAATCTACACACATAATGGCTTTAAAGTGGACTTGGAGACAGAAATATTAAAGGACACTGTTCTGCTAAAAAGCTATATTTATTGGAGTCTATCCTCAAGGAGTTCACAGCAGTTACCCTCATAAAAATCTGATACACAAGTGAGAAATTAGTTTTATGTACTTTGCCCTGGATCTCACATCAGGTATGACCTAGTCACAGCTTTATGTAATTTATCATTTCAATAAGGCATGTGAGCATTTCCTGGAATACTTCTATAGTAAAATCTATAATGCGTAGTAATTTATAATCACAGTTAAACCACTATGATGAAAATGTATTTATAGGAGTGGAAAGTATTTTTCTTGTTTGTATAGATATATCCTGACTGAAGCAAATTTGCATAACTACATGCAAGGTGGATAGATGGAAGCTTTTTCCTACAGTGGTACATTCACTGATGTGCCTGCAATATGCACACAAACCTTAATTCCATGTTATATCACTTTGGCCTGTAGAGTGGTTGCAGCACATAAATAAAACTAATTTATAAAGACCTTGAGGCAACCCTTTGGAGAGGAAAATTAAATCTTTTATATCTTGCTATACAACACAACTTGTGGTTTGAAAGTAACCGTTGAATACCACAATAGCTGGAAAATGTTAAATCAGCCAGACCACAGCCATGGGAAAAGATCCCAGAGTAATAAATGTGTCTTTGGTGCACAACGGCATCAGTTTTGTTTATTAACTTTTATCTAGTTTAACAATCATGAAAGAGGACGAGAATTTGTAGTTTTTGTATTGTGATTAGGTTTACACTTCTGAATCTCTGGACAAAGTTGTAACTGAGCTGAACTTTTGTTTGTTTCCAGCAATGACATTTGTCTTCAGTCAAAATCTCATATATAATCCGAAGTCTATTTAAAAAAGTCATCCAAGACAAATCTTTATGTTTAAATGTATTTAAACAGAGAAATATTAGAAAGTGATACCTTGATCCATGCCATTGTATAGTAATACCATTAATGCCCTTGCCATTCTAATGCATAAAAAAGGAAAACCATACCAAGCATAAGAATAAATAACAAACTTCCTGTCTCTCTACAGATATATTTGTCATAGGAAGAAATGATACATATTTTCAGAAGCAAGGATAAGCTAGTGTTGTACTTTTTTATGTTATGTGACTAGCTTATTTTCAAAATGTAGGCATACTTTTAATAAACAGCAGCTCATGTTTTTATCAGGAACAGTTATAAAAATATACCATCTTAATATTTACCATTAAAAAGTTAGATGACAACACTTCTTTTATTTAAGTGAGGGGTATCATAACATATAAAAGTAAATGTTTTGATTGTCACTACACCACAATCATTATGTTGCTATGCAGAGAAACATTGCTGGAAAGAAATATTTATTTTAAAAATGTTGGTGAATACGTTGTTAGTAAAAACAAATGCACAGAAAAAATAGGAAATAGGAAACCCCCCTGAGACGCAGCAGTGCTTACCTGACCACTTCTCAGCAGATCTGCTGCTTAGCTGTCCAATGCCTGTGAGTCCCTGAAACAGCGAGACAGAATAAACTCAGTGTAACCACCATGTAGCCTACTAAATTCACTTAAACACTTCAAACGACAAAACATACTCATCATAAACTATTCAAAAGAGCTAGCATGCAACTCCAGCTGCAAGAGATTTTGTTCACAAACTGAACAGCAATCGGCCTATACTTTAGTCTCATCAAAAAAGTAAACCAATCACATTGACAAAAAGCCACTGTAAACAAAAAGACTGTATTTGAAGGATTAACAGTTTTGGCATCCCTACCATCAAGTCTTCTGTTCTTTTTTTTTTCTTCATCAAAATTTAGGTTATATATTTGTTGTTAGCAAGAGTTGCATTACTATTATTGTTAATTTTAGTTCTGTTTATTACGTTGAGGGTTATATATTGTAGAATAATTTTGTTGTCACTAGTTAATGTTAATTAGTTGTTTTAATAGCCTATATACCTATTTGTTATCTTTTGGTAGGTTTACTTTTTTAACTATCAGTAACTTAATAACTGAGAATATTTTACATTACTGTTGCATACTCAAAATTACAGAGTTACTATTAGTGTTACCTGTTTAACGTTTAGTCATCCTTTGAGTCCTGCGACATATTTCCTTAATAATCATCAGCCATCAAGTCTGATAGTCTCAAAAGAATATCAGCCCTCTAAACTGCCTTCAAGGGCGGTGATATTTAGCACTGAAAATTACAAATAAAGTTTTTGAAGTTGAGTACCAACAACTGGGTAGTGACACTGATGATTTGTTTATCAAGACAAATTGTTATATACTACGAAAAATGCAGTCAACGCACTCTTCTGAGTGAAAACAAATAGGTGAATCTATGCAATGCTTACATGTTGAATGGGATATTTAATGTGCGGGGAAACTCAAAGGTTGAAGAACTAGCATTTAGACAGTCTAACAGTGGTAAGTGGTAATCTTACCTCTTTAAACTCCATTACATTCTCACGAGAGACATGCTAATACAAACAAGTCAATCAGAGTTTGTGTTTAGCAAGATCAAGCTTAAAGGATAGTTTAAAATCCATTTATTGTTCTAAAGCATTTTTTTCCATTAACATGTTATACATTAGTGGATACTAACCATGATTCATGTAACAGTTTAGTTTGTTAACTTTTAAATTATTTAACAACCAGAAGTTATTAATACAACTTTTAAAGTCTTACACAAAAAATCTTAAAACAGGCTTGGGTTCATTTTTGTAATTTTTATATAAAAAACATTTTAGGCATCTCTTGAAAAAGAAATAAAGCAGGCATTTAAAGCTAGAAAACAAGTAATTCCAAATTTAGTTTGTTACAAAAGGTTTCAGCTTTATTGACAAATTATGGCAAACATATTTGACAAAATTATGGTTTCCTATTTAGAGAAGCTTACACATGGAACTTTAAGTGATTTTTTTAACAAATACAGGTTAAAACACTGAACAACTTCAGTTAGCTACATACATACAGTAGCTGCTTGTTTTCAACCCCATTAAAACAGCATTTAAAATTAAATTTACAAACTTAATATCGAACATCTTAATCTAAACTAACATATATTAAAAAAGACAGGTTAAACATCTTATCTACAGCTTGATTATTGTCTGGTTCAAAAAAAAAAAAGGAAAAGGAAAAAAAGAATCATATTACAGTCTTTTAGCAACTCTAAACAGAAACTCAGCCTTAGCTAGTATGTAGAGACTCGAGATCTGTAACAGTGTCATGCTTTTAAAGTTACACACAGCAATGAATACAACCAATAGAACATCATCTTTGAATAGTTTATAGACAATGTTTGCCAAAGGTTTTTTGTCTCTGTTTTTTTAAGTCCGTGTTATAAAATAATACTAATGCCAATGTCACGCCAATGTTATAGGAAATACAAGTAGTACATAGGATAATAATGAGCAGTAATCCCTAGGATAGAAAAGAAATGGACTATTACTTGTCTTGTTGCTGTTTATGTGGAGACCACAGGCTATTAATTGTCTTTGAGGTGAGGTCACAGATGAGGAGGACCTTCAATATCTACCATAGGGGTGTTCCCTGTAACCCCCTCTGGCTGACCTTGGAGGTGGTGCCTTTAGGCTGGAACGGGTTGTGGCCCATTCTTCTTGTGCTAAAAACAGAAGAGAAAAACAAATTTTGTAAATATATAAAACTGAAAGAACAAAGGGATGCCACTGCTAATGGCTGTCAAAATTCTTGAGTGTTTTGTCTGAAACCTTTAGAAAAATAAAATGAGGATGGTGTTATCATCCATTGCTTTACCCTCCTACAAAAAACTTACAGAAAACTAACCTACTTCTCTACACAGGCAATCAGTCTATCTCAGGAAGAAAAAAGTCTTACACCTTCACTTTCAGCAGAGAATGAAAAACTACTGTGGTGATGGTACAGTCAACTCTGGAAAAATTACTGTGTTAGTCTGCCAGTTCAGAATTTATTTGATGTTTTGAGTTTCTAGCATGTAAGTTAAAGCACAAATTTGAATAGCATTTAATGTAGTTGGTATGGTAACAAGATGAGAAGTTGAATCATGAAAGGATAAGAGAGGTATGTTTGATTTTTTACTTCCATTTGAGATGAAAAGAAAAAAATAATGGAAGAAAAACAATGTGTAGCAGTGAACCTACTACATTAAGCAAAAAGAGACTTTACTTTGCATTATCTTTAGAATACTTTTTCAAATTCTGTGAATGAAATAATGCTCAGAAAGATCAAGATAAAAACTCTAGTTCAGTTTTTACAAAGTTTCTACAAATCTTCTCCTCCTCCCTGACAAGATATTTTGGAAGCTAACCCTGAGCAATCAGGAAATTACCTTCAGTTGTGGTCTAGCAGTTGAACCCAAAACTTGAATTCTCTCCTAAATCAGCTAGTGGATTGTGAAATGATTTCTGGTTTTGTCTTCCACTGACTTCAACTGATCATACAGAGTGATTAAAATGGAAATGCAGAAACCATAATGTATCATCATCGATCTTATAACACATCATTGTGCAACATTCCTGGTATCTTGTTTTTGCTAATGACTGCTGATTTATGTGGCCACTAATAAAATAATTAGCTGGCACTAGACAAAAATACTAAATGGTTAAAAGAGGTATCAAAGATTCCTTTTGTAAAATTTTAATGCTATGTGAAAACAGAAAAATGAAAATATAAAACATAAAAAGCCTGTTAAAATTCTGAAAGCTATTTCTTCTCTGCACGATGTCTTCTTTGCAACTATATTTCATTATCCTGTTGCCTTGCGGTATGAGGGGAAAGCACAGGGTGTGAGGGGAAAGCACAGGGTGTGAGGGAAAAGCAGCTATACAGCTTACAGTGAGGCTCAGGTTGCAAGTATTAGGAGTGGACATCTCTGGAGAAGATTTGGTAGCAGCTGATCTTGCTATGGAACAAGAAACATTCCTGTTGTGATTTTTTGGTGCACTCCATTTATTTTTTTTTTTTCTTTGAGCTCTTCAGGATGTTCTCTTGTTGAATATCAGGGGTTTTATGGTCACATGAAACCAAAGTTTACTGTGGAAAGCTATTGCCTATAGGGTTGAAGAAGAGGCAGCCAATACGATATAGTTTTAAATCCTCAGGTCTCTCATTCCTAGAGGGAATCAGTTTCCATATAGTGAATTTAAAAACCCTCCCTCTGCAATATGTTTCATTACACCCTTTAAAAATGGCATCTTGCTGTAAATTTGCTGCAGCTTCAATTACCCTTTGCTGAAGTGTCACTGCATTTGCAGAGAGGCCTTGGGGAGAAGTGAGATTTATATGGAAAAGGAGAAGCTTTATTTATATAAATGAAAATGACTGAAGTAGTAAAAATATTCACTAAATGTACAACACAAAGACAAACCCATTTCTTTTTCCCTTTCAGTCTCCTCAAGGTCATCTGGACGGAAAGACCTTTGTATAAAGGTGAGTGCAGTATTTTTGGTAGTACTCATGCAGTGAAAAATGACTTTATATTACCAACTGGAGGAAGTTGTTTTTCCTTGACTGTTCTTAAAGCAAATTGCTGCTCTTGACAGAGTACAAAACCAGAATTGTAATTTGTGGTACAAGTCTCTTTTTCAGTAACATGGTGGACCTATTTGCTTGATTTCAAACTTTAACACCATTATTGACACCATGGTTGACAGCTAACAGCTCCTGTTGATATTGCACAATAGACCCTAGTGTACTAACAGGTGAATCCATAGCCAAAACATAGATGGAACTTTTGGGATTACGGCCTTCAAGTGGGAAAACACTGGCATGTACCACTCATACAGCACTAAAGGATTATATATTCATTGTGGAGAAAGGAACATGATAGGGAGCAGCATTATCAAGAGTCTCGGAATCACACTATGCCAATAAATTACAAGATGGAGCCACACCAAAAAAGAAGTCAGATTACTAGTGGGTTTTTTCCTGTGGGGATTTTTAATGAACAACAATATATCTGCATGCTAGTAATTAAAGGTTCCTTGATGTGTAAAGCTGGTCTTTCGTATCTCCATTTCAGACGTCCAATGTAAGCTTTCTTCTTTCAGCATCGAGGGAAGAAAGGGGGCTTCTGAGAATGGAAATCTCTTGTCTTCAGGAACAGTCTTAAAAGATTGGAACCATATAGACTACCTCAGTAGCTTGTTGGATAGCAGAATGGTTGAAAGACTGATTACCAGGCTCAGTTTCACTGTGTTTGAGAACAGGAGAACAGTGGAGCCTGTCTCTGAAAGACTGTACCAAAAAGGGACAGAAAGAGAGCCTGGATGTATTTAACTGTAGTAAAGTCACATGTTAAAGAAGTGGAAACTGAGAGGAATTTCAGGTGAAGAGCAGGTAATAGGTGTAGCTTTGGAGATGGAAACGTAATTGGGAGAACTGCAAGTGAGAGACTGATCAAGAGCTGAAGAAATGTGCAGGGTGGTCATTGTGTTTTAACGCTGATTCCTTTTCCTTCTGATTCCTGTTGAAAGAAACTCTGTGCAGTCTGACCTTTCTCTTCCCTCTGTGACGTCCAGACCTCCATCCAGTCCTTATGCCATAGCAGGCTCCACTCATACCCTGTCCTTTTCACTTCTGACTGTCCCCAGTGCTATCAGGTGTCAAAGACTGTGACTGAAAAGAAATCCACACAGGTAGCTTAATAACTGAGGGCAGAGGGTCCAGCTTTTTCAGGAACTTGGTGTTATTTCCAACTTTGACATTCTAAGTTAAGGAGAAATACTGTATGTTTTGCTTTCAGAAACTAAAACTATAAGTTATAGTAGCATGAAGGAAACCTAATAGAGTTTATATGTGAGGAATCTAAGTGTGCTTGGGCATGAGGTTTCCTGTGGGTGTGGTAACAAGTATTGTAACTTCTTCGATAAGAAATAAGACATGGGCACAACCCTTTTAATTACACTGCATACTTTCAGTTTGCTGTATGATCCCTGCCAACTGGTATTTGAAGCTCACCTTTAGGATATAAAATTAATTATTATTACAGTCAATCAGCACCCTTGGTTTATGACTGATTGAAATTATATGTTATTAATTTTGCACTGCTTTTATGGTTCAGATTGACTCTTATTTATTATACTGTGTTCACTGAGTTATATAAATGCTTTCAGTATCTATTACAGACTATTGATATATTAGTTGAGGCTATCTTTGAAGATTATTGTTTGATCATTGCTAGGAGACTCATTAGCTTTGATCTAATGTTTAAATACAAAATTATAGTTAGATTTTTTTTCTTACTGGAGAGTCAGAATGAAAAAAGATCATACCATTTTTAACCTGAGAAATTCCTCTGAATATGAGATCTAAATGGTAACATTTATAGCACAGAGAGAGGTATATATGAAGTTGTTTCTGTCTTACTATTTTACCTATGTATTATTGAAAGCACAGAAAAATTCAGTGGCTCAACCATGTGGCTATCATCACATGCTTAAATGACTTTAAGTACAAGATTCAAGAAAAGCACATATTCAGACGCTTTTTTTTTTTTCACTCTTCAATCTGCATTCTGCAACTTTGTCATGGAATTTTCCAGCACTGAATAAAACTCTTTAACAAATGCAAAAAGGGAAACAATGCAATAATTAAAAGGCAGATCACATTAATGGATGCTTTAAAATAAAAAAAAATACATATTAACAGCATGTGATTTACATATGAACGTGTTATTTTCTAATATTTTTGTATTTATATTCATTGCTTAATCCCTGTAGGCGCGGTGCGGCCCGGCCCCGGTCTGGTCAGATTATGTGACTAACACATCTGTTCTAGAACAAGCAGCAGTCACAAGTATTGAGGCCTCAGTTGTTGCTGAGAACACAGTTGCGCTGGGCAGGGCACGTCTCAAGGATGAAGGACCACCGCCTCCCTAAGATCCTGCTTTATGGTGAACTTGCCACTGGCTGCCGCAAGAGAGGAGCCCCAAAGAGAAGATACAAGGACTGCCTGAAACAACATCTCAGCCTTGGCCATATTGATCAACATAACTGGTCTACTCTGGCCTCCAGTCGGGAGGCCTGGAGACACACCATCTATAATGCTGCTGATGCTTTGGAGAAAGCACGCAGGATCACTCTGGAGGAGAAAAGACAATGCAGAAAGATTCGTGCCTTGCAGAATATACCATCTAAGGAGTCTTTCTGCTGTGCCTTTTGCAACCGGACGTGCCTATCTCGTATTGGCCTTTTTAGCCACCAGCGTGCTTGTAAAAAACGTGGATAGAGCCCTTCCCAAATGTTCGTTCGCGAAGCCTAGCCATGATGGTGAGTCCCTGTAATAATAAAGGCCTGATCACTTTTTCTTCCTAATAAATTATTTAACATCTGAGTATCGCCCACAATTATTTGGCACAATTTTATTAATCTCTGGTCAATTATTTTGGACAGGTGGCCAGGAAGAGATTAAAAAGAGCTATTCTGTTCAGATAGTTATGATGTATATAACAGCAAGTAGTATAATGGTTTAATTTAATTTTTCACTTAGCTTTCAGTGTTTTAGAAACAGAAGTTGCTTTTAATTCAGAATAAAATATTTTTATTTCCTATAAGGAAAAATCTCCACCATTTTTGCAAGGTCATTTATACTGCATGCATGTGCAGAGAGCACGCTGCACTTGGGATAGAGCTCAAGTGGAATTCAGGAATTGTGATTACTAGCTCTACTCCTTGTTTGCTCAGTGACCTTGGATAATTGTTCAATATTTTGTGGTATGGCTTCCTCACTGGTAGAATGAGACAAGAATACCTATCTCCCTGGGGTGTTCTGAGATGTAGTTAATTGCCTGAGCAGTAAGAGAAAAGTGATATAGATGTGCTGAACAGAAGACCCAATAGAAACCAGACATACTGCTTTAAAGTGAGAACACTGAAAATTAGAATACTTTTCTTTGGATAATTCAATTTGTGCTGTATTTCTAGTAAGCCTCCAAACTTCTCCCTCCATGAAAAGATGGATGGAGACAAAGTACTAAGCAGTGGATGGAAAATTTGCCCTACACAAGCTAATGACTGAAGCTCAACTAACATTGACAAAGGAAATGTTTCACCCCATAAATCCACACAGAAAAGACAGCAGCAGTTTTCTTGTGTCATAATTGGACAAGTATATATTATTTTAGACAAAAATTCAAGAACAAGTTTTTGTCTTTTTTCTTTTTTTAAGGAGAGCATCCACTTATTTTTTTCACTCTTCTAGTCTCTTCTTGCTTGTCTGCAAAGCTTGCAAAATACACAGGATTTTCTAACCTGACACCTATGTATTTTATAATTTGTGAGAAGAACAGCTAAGTGACTATCATTCAAATCACAAATGGTACCTTTCTTCTTTGAAATGTAGAATCTTCAGAAGATAAAAAATGATTTCAAAACACAGGCTCAAAACCATTATGTTTAC